GAAACTACCAGCTGCTCCGCGGGAGAAAGATGAGGCTTTCTACTCCCGTAAGGATTTACACCCTCGGAAACCCTGTACAGGGTCGCTGTGGGTCGGAACCGACTCGAAGGCACTTAACAACAACAATAATACATAGGTTATTAGCACCAGAAAGAAATCAAGTTTTGAAGAGCTGATCTTCTGCATCTAGAATTAGCTATGCTGAAGATGTGTTTTTAAGCCTGTGATTATACCTGACCCCAAACCTCAGGAAGTAATCTAGATATCCACTGATTTCAAAGTACGTTCCACATTTCAAAACATTTTCAGAGGGAATGAATAAAGCACAGAGTATAGAAACCTGCCTTGGTTTGCTAAATTTGGTGGGATGTCTATTTATTTTCTACTTACTGCATTATGAGGATTTCTCAGGTTTGGTCTATTTTTCTTATCACTCCTTAGTAGGTATGCAGATAACAACATTGTAGAAATCATTTATTAGTATAAATGCTTTTCCCTAACCTTGGAAGTTGTCTCAATTGCATACAAAGTATTCCTTGTGTCACTTTTATTTTCACTGAGTGTTTTGCAGCACACCAAAGACTCAATTGCTAGAAAATGACAAACTATTTTAGAAGTAAATATATTGATCAGAATTTAAAGGACATTGTTCCATCTCTCTCTCTCATGGCTTATCCTAGCTCTCTAGCTTGCCACTGTATGTCATTTCTTGGTATATGAACAACTGGATTGCCAATTTATACTTATATTCTAACTGAAAGTGCCGTAACGTCTGAACGCTAACACTACATTACCATGCTTGTGGACTTGACATAGACGTTGTTTTTCAGATGGCAGTCCCCGTCGTTCGGCACCACTATGCCTGCCAATTTGCTATCGAGAGCGAGATGAGATGTCTGATCCGTCATCACCAGCAGCAATCTTTTAGCTTCTTTCCGCCATCCAATATGACTCTTAGAACAAACATGCAATTAGACGCTGTACAATAACACAGATCTGTTCTGTGGTCTTTGCTTTCCAGTAAACATAACTGATTTAAGCAACATAAGTCAGGCTGGAATTATGTGCATGGATTCAATGCTGCTGCATAAACAGCAGCACATTTTCATCGCATATTCTCTATTTAATCACAGCCATTTGAGTACACTAGCTCCTGGTCAGAGATTTTGAGTGTTGCCCTGAGGAGGAACTCCACAGAGCATTCAATGTAGTGTGTGTGACAGTCATTTCTAGCCCTTCCTTGGAAGTTGGTACATGAAAAGAGAAACTCATCTGGAAAGGAGGTCCCATGTGTATAAGTTATTCTTTCCCTTTTATATCTTTCTATTTATACCCCTTTCCCAATTTAGCTCCTCTGCCCCAAAACATACCCAAATGAGTGACACTGGTGACTAATAAAAGATAGAGAAATATATATATATATATATATATATATATTTTTTTTTTAAATGTGATTCTGAAAGAGAAAACAGGGATTCTAAATTTGTTGAGACTTTTGCCTCTGAGCAAACACTTAAAAGCAAAGAAATGATTACCTCACAGACAGCTGCCTGAAGCATGGCATCAAAACCTCCTTCGGGTGTATCTATGTTTCCAGAGATCTTCTGTCTGTGAACTGCCTTCTCAAACTCGGTGATGTTTTCCGTCAAAGACAGCACATGAATATACCCGTGGGGTGGCATGCAGTCTAAATTATAGTCACTGTATGAGAACAGAAGAAATGTGAATTCCATTCTGCTATGCTTCAGCGTTCTGGAATACTAATAGCAGTTAAAATCTATAGTTGACATGAGAAGGGAATCTGTTATTTTGCCAAGAAAATTTTATAAGGGGAAAATCTGTACCTTATAAAGTCAGAAAGAAGCTCAATGTTGGTGAATATCTATCTTTTCAAGTAGGAAAGAAGAATCTAAGATTTCATTATTCAAAAAATAAAGACAATTGAGCCTGTTTCTCTAATACAAGACAAGTCAGGGCTTTGAATATACTAATAGGGACTGCAAGTTTTAAGTGGAAATAATGTGACAGTGATTCCCTATTACATTTGATCATTGAAGAGCTGACAAACTCTTTTAGGGAAATATTTTAGAAATTTAGTCAAAATGCCACATTAGTGTTTGATTTTTTTTTTTTTAATTGCACTTTGAAAAAAAAAAGATGATTGGCATGGAATACTAATGAATCACTATATTCTAGAAAATGAGACTCATTCCTTTTTGTATTCACATTTTAGAAGAAGGCCCATGAAACTGCATAAGAATATGAATCAATTCTGTTCTGGCACAACAGAACACAGAGTTGATTTGGTAAACTAAAATACATAGTGTATAAATGGGCAACTTATGGAAGTAGGAAAGACCATATTAAAATAAAATACTTTATGAAGGAAAACCAGCACACATTTATTACTTTCAGAAAATAAGCCAGTGACAACAACAGTGTGTGAGAAATATATTCTAAGGTCAGTTCTTTCATGGCAGAGCATGTGTTATTTAAGGTCTGTCCTCAAATGACAAAAAAAGGATTCTCTTCTAAACCATGACATTCACACCCTTTGATCCATTCTCCATGTGAAGCAAGCTCTGTTAGTTGGCAAGTATAAGTAACATAATGTGATATAATCACAACAAGGTAATGGGAATAAGGTGCAGTGCTGACAAGATAAATACTTTAAAATGGAACAAAAATAATTCAACAAAGTTGGATCAAGCAAAAAGAGAAATACAGAATTATCAAAGAAATTAATATGTGACAATCTAATTACTGATTTTTTTATACAGTTACTGGAGTCCTGGTGTGGCGCTGGAAGATAAACACTACACCACAAGGCCATTTGAACAGAGTTCAGTGGTTCAAACTCACAGCTATTCCTAGGAAATCTTATACAGTGTTGCTATGAGTCAGAACAGAGTAGACATCACTTAAGAATATAGTTACTAATATTATACAGGGTTTTAAAATAAAGACTGAAGAGATATTTGAAGAAATATATAATCTAAAAACTTGAGTTATAGTCTCCAAAGTTTTCAAATAGAAAGACTTCTCAAATATTTTAGATTCTAATTTCATAAGACAAAAATACCAAATTGTATACATTCTTTATATAAAACAAAACAAATTGAGATTTTATGAGAAAAAAAAAAAGTCATTTAGTAATCTAAAATCCACAACAAACACTAGATACCTGCACTGATTATGAATCCTTTCTGGGTGGATGCTAATGTATGGTGAAACTGTTTTATCAACATATGAACCAAATCCAAGGCGGAAGTCATGGGAGAAAAATGACATTTTTCTAGATAAATCATTTCCAACTGAATTTAATTTTTCTATATTATCAAGCATTGATGCAGAGACATCAACAAGATAATAAAGATCCACAGGATATTTCTTCAGAGGATGAATTTTCAACATAAAATTAACTTCTGCTCCTAGTTAAAGAAAAGAAACAATTATGTAATCTTCATTTCAACATCAACAAATCAGGCACTTTTTACCATCTAGAACAATTACCACAAATTTACCCATAATGAACAAAATGAATGATATTCTACAATAATTTTACAGCAATTTGGAAAGCATACCAATTCATTAGTTTCCAATACTACTATGCATTCCCTACAATTCTATAGAACAGATGCTGGTGGTGGTGGTGTGCCGTGGAATCGGTTTGGAGTCCTAGCAACCCTGCATAGGGTTTCTAAGGCTGTCAATTTTTACAGGAGCAGAAAGTCTCATCTTTCTCCCGTGGAAATGCTGGTAGTTTCAAACCACTGACCATGAGGTTAGCAGCCCGACTCGTAACCACAACTCTACCAGTGCTCCTTATAGAACAGATTGTTGTTGTTGTTGTTGTTAAGTGCCATCGAGTCGGGTCCGACCCATAGCGACCCTGTACAGGGTTTCCGAGGGTGTAAATCTTTACGGGAGTAGAAAGCCTCATCTTTCTCCCGCGGAGCGGCTGGTAGTTTCGAACCGCTGACCTTAAGGTTCGCAGCCCGATTCGTAACCACTACGCTACCAGAGCTCCAGCAACAGATAAATAGCTCAATGTAAATGTAATAGAATATACAATGTAAATGTAACAGAATAGACTTGAATTTATCATCATATGAACCTGTATTTCCCCTGATATCTAGAAAACCACAGCACAAAGCAGCAAGCAGCAAGTCTATCCCAAGAGAGGACAGACAGCCTTGTTTATGGAGCCATTTGAGTACCATCAGAAAGGTACCTTAAGAAAATTACCTTTTGTGGGATACAAGGGTAGATTCATTAGTTAGTAAGAGTTAGGGTTAAGTAATATTTACATATGAAATGTAAAATTCTTATACTGGGTAGCACATTAAGGTATTCAAAATAATTAGTACCTTATCATGAATTACTTGTTAAAATTTAATCCAAAAGTTAGATGAGAGAAGAAATGAGACAGTATTTTAAAAAAGAGTATCCAGGATTGCCAAGCTGGGGACTAAGGGAATATATAAGACAACCTTTGTTCAACACATAGTGGATGTTCACTAAAAATATGTTAAAAAGGGGCTGCAGAGTCACTGGACAAATGAACTGCAAGAGAACAGATGAATGTGGGGAAAATCCCCATCACAAAAACATCTGCATATAGTGTATTTAGCCCTATCCATTACAGTTTGTTACAACCTGAGCTATTCTCCCAGCACCTGACACAGTTGGTGGTACTGTTTTAATTTAAAATATGTGGTGAAAGAGCACAAATTTACAAATCCAGAAGTTTTTAGTTATATTTTGTACTTTTTTAATCAATAGAGAAAATTGTTGTAAGTCATTAATTATGAAATGTCTTGAAGTATACTTTGAGAGGATAGGATTCTTCTCTGCATTTTTCATTAAAAACTAATTTGTATAAGCATATTACAGTCTGATCTATTTACTAAAGGCAGTCCTTAATTTACCAAATCATATTTTCAGCATTATTATGCTTACAAGTAGCATTGTTTTATCTTAAATGATTGGAAAAGTCACATATTCTTCAGTCAAATTACCTAAACAATGTAATCAAAATAATAAGGCCTTGCTAAATATATAATAATAATTATGAGGACAAGGGGCTATTAACTCATTCTTAGTTTGCTTTTCTGTGGTGGAAACTCCATTAATACAGCATTCCTGGTTTTCTGGTCCAGAAATTCTCAAGGAGAACCAGGCATGCCTAGCCCATCCCAGCTCAGTCTCTCACCTCTTCCCTTTGGGAGCTGAACTGCCTCCAGAAAGTACATGTGTCTGCTCTGATTTTGGCATCTGAGAAAGAGGCCTATTCCCGTGTAGTGTTCTACAATTTGGGTGAAATTCACTTCAGGTAACTGTTAGGATAGGCCCCAATGGATGAGAAACAGATGCAGCGTTAGGAGAATTGGAGTGCTGACTATGTGGAGGGGCTTGAACCTAAATGTACTTGTTGGCGTTTTGATCTTGGCACTACATAGACACATGTTTGGTCAAGAGCTAATTTTGTTGATTTTTGTTTACTTGAAAATTGTGTAGTTAATGCTGGACTGTTGTGAATCAGACATACTCACATGACTGATAAGGCTAACAGCCTCAGGCCCTGATCACATGTGTCTTTCATATTGGTGGGTCATTTCAGTGATGGTTAAAAGATGGAGACTTCCTGTTTTCATAGAGTAAAAGCGAAATGCCTTAGATACTGGGTATATTATGAAGAAGTTGCAGTAAAGAATGGATTGGTAATCCTGAAAACAGGCAAAGTCTCTGTAGCAACAACAAAGAAACAGTCCTTGGAGTCATAAACATTTAGGGAGCTACAAACGCCAGCCTCACAGGGGCCCTCAACAGACTTGGCTGTTCACAGCCTAGTGTGGGAGTTAAGGTTTTATGCCTACTTGACCTGAACAGGATTCTCAGTGGTTTAGCAGTTATGATGTAGTTATCACCTCCATGATGAGATCTAATATGATGCAAAATCACTCCCATGATGTGATCTGATGTGATCAGCTTTAATCAGATGTAATTATCCTATGTGTTATAAGCCTTATTTATATGATATTAATAAAATAAGAGTCCTGGTATGGTGCTGCAGGTTAATGTGTAGTTCTGCAAGGTCAGTTTAAACTGCAAGGTTGGTGGTTCAAGCTGCTCTTTGGAAACCTTATATAGGGTCACTATGAGCCAGAAATGACTGGAAGGCATTAACAACATGATGCTAATGAGGCCAGATGCAATATACAGAATTAGGTTGCATTTTGAATCAATGTCTTTTGACATATAAAAGGAGAGAGATGTGAGCAGAAAGAAAAGGACCTACTATCACCAAAAGGACCTATGGGTGTTGTAGGCCTAGACTGACTGACCCCTCAAGCCCCATTCTGCTTGTGAGGAAGGAAAATAAAGACACTAGGCTTTGATCACCATGGCTTGTGGCTTGCTTGTGAGTCTTGAGACACAACCTACAATATATTTTCAAATTGGCTTGGGAATGGATAGTTGTAATGCCTTTGAGGCAGGCTTCTTAGGCTGATTATTTTGTTATATCCAATGAGATTGCTATGAAGACAAGGGTAAACTTGGCCTGGAGTGTACTAAATGCTTTTATGTCTGATTGCAAAGTAACATGGGTTAATATTTAAGCTAACTCTATACATGGTACCTATGAATCAGAACTGACTCAACAGCACTTAACAACAATAACAACATATTTAAGTAGGAGTCCTGGTAAGATGTTGTAGGATAAACACTGGACTGCTAACCACAAGGTCGGTGGTTCAAATCCACCTGCATTCTTCAAAAACCCTATACAGGGTTGCTATGAGTCAAAATTTAACTCCTTTACTTCAACTATGACTTAGGTTTCCTGGTGAGGCACTGTAGGATGAGCACTGGATTGTGAATCGGCAGTTCAAAGCTACTAGCTGCTCCTTGGAAACTATATAAGATCACCTCCCATAATAGCCATGACTTTGGAATTGACTCAATGGCACTTAACAACCACAACTACTACTTATGGTGGGTGTTGGTGATTGTGTGTCTTCAGGTTGGTTCCAACTAATAGTGACCCTGTATAGCATTTCCGAGGCTGTATGTCTTTGTGGGAGCAGAAAGCTTCACCTTTCTCTTGAGGGACAGCTGATAGGTTTGAACCATTAATCTTGTGGTTAAAGTCCAATGCCTATCACACAGAGCCAGCCTGCTTAAGTAAGGTAATCTGAGTTAGTATTTAGACTAAATTTTAATGAGGGTATATTTAGGTTAATGCGCCATTTTGTTTTCCACCATAAGTTGAATATAGCTGGTCTTATCATTTTGGGGATTTTGGGTATTGAATTCAAATGCTGGTTGTTGGTGGTGGTATGTCGTCAAGTCAGTTCCGACTCATAGCAAGCCTGTATAGGGTTTTTGAGGTTGTAAATCTTTATGGGAACAGCAAACCTCATCTTTCTCTGATGGAGCAGACTGTGAATTTGAATTGCTGGCCTTGCAGTTAGCAGCCCAACACAGAGCCCACTCACTAAGCTACCAAAGCTCCTTGAATATAAAGGCTAGTGGTTACTTAATTTATATCTCTAGTATCTTTCTTTACCCATGATAGGAAGTAAGCTATGAAATTTGCTACAGTGGGAAATGAAATCAATGATGACTCAACTGTTTTCCTATTCATGTACCTTGTTGCCATGGTGCAGACACTTTATTCTTTTCAGTAGCTTTCTATTTCTGGAGTACAGGTAAATGGGAAGAACACTTGAGTGTGTGCTGATACAAATAGCTTTAGAATATTCAATTCTTGTAGGTGCAAGATGATATAATTTTTCATTTACTTTTGGGATTCAAATGACATTATCTCACCCATTTTGTCTTTTTTTTTTTTTCTCTCTCTCTCTACACTAGAATCAATTCCTACAACTTAACATAGGAAATGATTGATAAGCTCAACTATGAGGAAAATAGTTATAACTGGGCAAAAATAGTGTTTGGCAGACAATAGCATTTCTGTTAGCAGTTTTTTGTTTTTTTTTCCTTAATGGTTATAGAATTTCCAACATAAGGCAGGATTAGGTCTATTTTTTAACATCAGACCTCAAACTAATTACCATTGACTGACTTCCTAAAAGGTTTAAAGTTTGGGAATCTGTTTTGGTAATTTAGTCTTCAGTCTATGTATTTATTGTTGTTATTGAGTGCCATTGAGGAAAACAAATATTGGTATGCCACACCACACAATGATGTCTTCTAACATACCAGCCTTTTTTGTTTTTTGCCTGAATTTTTTTTGGAACATCATTTGTCCTCCACCCCAGTCTCATTTTCCTTCAATCACTACATCAGTAAGTTGATCTTTTGAAAAGTCAAAATCACTTGTCACCCCTGGTTTAAAATTTGTCAGTAACTTTCCATCAAATGGCTAGTGTCCAAGTATTTAATATGACAGATAAGTATCTCC